TGTGCAACAGAGCTTCTCCAAAACTCCCTCGAAGCTGCCTTCCTCCCTGCCGGGCAACCCGTTCCCTTCCTCCCTCCTCAACTCCAACGTGCTCTGGGGGAAGTACAGCTGCAAGTCGTTCGCCTGCCTGGCGAAGGAGAATCCGAAGCTAGGGTTCGATCTGGGGACCGAGATCTCGAAATTCATGACCTACAAGACCGAGCTCGACCTCCCGATCCCGCAGCTGATTCAGATCTCCAAGACCGCCAGCTCCCCGATCCGGCTGGGGATCGACGTCGGCGGCGGGACGGGGACCTTCGCGGCGAGGATGAAGCAGTACAACGTGACGGTGGTGACGACGACGATGAACTTCAACGTGTCGAACAGCGAGGTGGTGGCGATGAGGGGGCTGGTGCCGCTCCACGCGCCGCTGCAGCAGCGGCTGCCGGTGTTCGACGGGGTGCTGGATATCTTGCCCGCAAGGTTTCTTCGATCTTCAGCGCCTGAAATTGAGGGTTTATTGCTCTGGATCTCGTCGCTTTACACAAAAATCGGCACAGCTCGAGTGGAGAAGATGGATTGAAAGGGAAAGATGGACGAGGAAGCGGACCAAAGCCCAGATCTATTTCTTGCTCGCCGGTCAAAGAAAGACAATTGTCAGGCGAGTGGGAATGGCGCGGAGAGGAGAGGGGGGATGGCGGCGGGATGGGAGGAGTAGGCGGTCGGCGACCGTCGGGAAGGGAGGGACGGAGGGTGGATTCAGAGAGAATTGGAGGGGCGGCGGGTTTGTTGGTCTGGGAAATGGGGGGTAATTGGAAAATGTAGTCAGCTGTTGTTAGGATTTTAGGGTTAGGGGTGTGGCCGGGTATCCACGGGTCGGGTTCCCCCAAACCCGAACCCGCCCCAACCCGCCCAACCAGCCACCGGGTTCAAACCCGAACCCGACCCGAACCCGGTCAACACGGGTTTTACCCTGTTTGACCGGGTTGGATCGGGCCGGGTACCCGCGGGTCCGGGTTGAACTGCCATCCCTACTCACCATAAGGTTACTGACCTGATCCATTCCCCTTCAGCCGTGATTTATCGGGCATTAAGATCTTGTGTATTTTTATTTGGTTATTCGCATTTAATTGAGATTCAAGACCGTTCGACATTCACATTTCTTAATTATCGTTCTAGTTGGATTATGATTTGTAATAGTTTCTGCAGGTTACATTTAATACGGTTTCTTGGGAAAGAAGTGAAGCAAGTTGACTAGTTGAGTAGGAAAAGAAGATGGACAGTGGTCAATGGACTAAGACGAGGAGGGAGATAAATTGCTAAATGGTTAACGGTCGTCCTAAAAATTACTAACCATCGTTCTAACTTAATATATAATTTATCGAACTATTCATTTTCAATTTCAAAATCAAACACAAAACAAACAACCCCTCCCCCTTCATAAATCTAAAAAAAAATATAAACCAAAATCCAACAAATTATCTTATGGACCGAACCATAAATTGATATAAATCGAAAAAAACCTATAAAAAAACCCTAAAACCCCTCAACCGAAGCCAATTTTTGGTTGCACCATGGCTCAACCGAAGCCAATTTTTGGTTGTACCATGGACCAACCGAAAATCAGCTTCGCTTGCACCATGGCTCAACCGAAGATAGTTTTCTGTTGATACATGGTACAACTAAAGCTGATTTTCGGCTGATCCATGGCACAACCGAAAATTGGCTTCGGTTGAACCATGGTACAACCAAAAAATGGATTCGGTTGAGGGGTTTTGGATTTTTTTTATATATATTTTACCTTGTCGGAGTCGCTACTCATGATTCGGATGCATTCTCGACAATTACGACTTCAGAATGTCAACGATGAATTCGAGAGTGTGGGAGATTGAGTGTTTTTCGTCTTTTTTTATCAAAGTGATGTTTGTTTGCTAAAGAAAATGTAAAGATGCCAAAAGGTTAAAAATGTAACTTTGTGGTCATTTAGGACGATCATTAGTAATTTTAAGTACGACTTTATCAACTTCCATGAATTGCAGGTGCAATTCTATAAATATATAATTTGGTTTACGATTAATTAAAAAGAAGATCAAAACCCCATTCGCTTTTTTTCCTTTTTGCTTTCTCTTGCTATTATTTCCTTCATTTTAGTTCAATTCAGTGTTTTTTTTTCCAATGATCAGTGTTAGTTTGTGAGGCCTCAATCCCCCAAAGAAATATAACACGCCACATGTTTCTCCTGTTCTTTTTTGTAACAATCGAGATATTATATATGTTATCTTCTAACTGCATATAAAAATAAATCGACCCACCCCATTTTGTATCGGTACAAATATTACTTGATCCAACTAGCTCTTGGCACTAGACACATATATGTATTTAGAAAGATACCCATCCTAACCCATTATTACCTAGAAATGCAAAAGAGGCTCAATTGAGTCTCTAATTGTGATGACCCAAAGGGACACGTTCCAAACAACAACGAAACCCCAAGCGGTCATCCTCCCTGGAAACAGTGCCAATCACATTTGTGGTAGCAAACTTGGCTTCTTGGTGTTCTGCTGTTTTCCTCCTTTCTACTCATTGTCGCTTGGTGTGACATAAATGGTTTATAATAAATGCTCAAACCCCAATTCCTACCAAATAACAACTACCAAATACATCACTTGATTTAATTGATGTGTGGAATTGGGTTCTCACTCAATTAAACAAAGAAGATGGAGATGGAGTTTAATTTTGGACTATTCCCAGATTAAGAAACAAATAACAATCATAATTCTAGACCGGTGGAGTGTGGGGCTGCTTTTGGGCTTCTCTGTAGGGATGGCAATTTCGACCTGATCCGTTTTACCCGACCTGTTTGACCTGTTTTGGGGCGGGTCCGACTCGCCCCGTAGGCGGGGCGGGGCGGGCATGGGTAGTCTCATCGACCCGACCTGCCCTGACCCGCCCCATTCTCGACCCGTTCTTGTCTAAATTACATTTAATCTTAGTCGAATTACTTAGGATTTTCCTTTTATTGCATCATATTTTTAGCTATAAGAAAGTTGTAAATTAGTGAAAACCTCAATTTCTCCAATAATTTAACTACATTTGTCATAATATTGTTTGTTTTCTTAGTCTTATAATAAAAATAACGAATATTGCTAATGTTTTTAATATAAATTGCATACCCATTGGGTCGACCTGCCCCGACCCGCGACCCGAGATCAATTACCCGACCTGCCACGGGGCGGGTCTGGGCACCAAGAAACCCGCCCCGGACCTGCCCATTGCCATTCCTACTTCTCTGTTTACTTGTCTTGGGTTTCAGAGCTGCACAGGTAGAACAGGTGGAGAGGAAAATAGTATCTATGTTCACAAGAAAAGTTTAAGAAGGATTTAGGGGGATTAATTAATACAGAAACTAAACACCTTCTAAGTACACTTAAAAAGAAACTAATTACAACAATAGCTTGCAACTAAATTTGTAGAGGCATGACAGATGACCTAACTTGAGTCACAATTCTAGCGGGACAAATATAACAAGCTTCATACACTACGGAAGTGGTATAAGTCATTTCGATGTTGTGCATGGTACACTTGATCGTGAGCATATTTTTCGGGCAAAAATCAAATTTAAACGAAGAAAATACAAATGAATTTAAAAGAATAATAAATTGAAGGGAGAAAAAACTATGTGATCCTTGAGGCTTTAGATTAATCTAAGATGTGCGTCTGTTGTTCTGCAAATTTATGTAAAATAAGGTTACCCACCAGCTGTCAAGTGGCTAGGCAAGCACTCCCAACTTGATGTCGAATATGGTTACTATGCTCATGCCAAAAACCGGGGTTTACAAACTTAATGTGGATCTCGTTGTGCTAGCGACCCAAATGCACTATTAGTCCGATTCTTGATACTAATATATATTTTACTAATAGATGGATGCCCACCCTAATGGTATGTATGTTTTGATGTAAGCCACTAACTATTATTGAGTTGTCTGAACAATAACAGAACTGGCCCATACCGAAATTTAATGCAACTGCTAACCCCCAAAGCATCATTTTCCAGATTGACTTATGAAATGAATCTTCAGCAGTATCTCTTATTAAAAAACAAACTCTTCAACGGTAGGATTACAAATTAGACTTCTTATCCGACGGTCTTCAATAGGAACATGCATATAAACCACAAGGCTCTATCACCCAACTACCAACTCTCCCACTTGCTCCCCCTTTCCATATTTCTGGTATTTACGAGTAGGATCGCAAATGAGTCAAATCGCTCGTGAGCAATTCGGCGTTCGAATCGAAAAAAAATTGTTCGACACTCGGCTCGTTATTTAACAAGCCGGTTCGCGAGCCGACTCGTTAGTAAACGAGCCAAGTTTGAGCTAGACCATGCTGAGCTTGATAAGCTCGTGAGCTGGCTTGATTTGGTGGGTTGTTGAGCTAAGCTCGCGTGATGGCTTGTTTAGAGCTTGTAGAAGGATTAATTATTCTTCTGAATATGAACATTATCTTGTTAATCCGTATATGTAGGTAAGTTAGCTGGTATTTTTAGTTTCTAGTGTTATTTTTATCATTTTAATTCTTATGTGTACACATTTTTCAGCAAAAATGATTTCAAATTAAGCTAATCTTAAGCCGAGCTTGTACTCAGCTTGACAAGCTGTGTTAATGAGCATTTATCGAGCTCGAGCTGAATCATTTTTAATCGAGCCGAGCTCAAACTTGAGCTGGACTATCAAAATTCGAGTTCGAGCCGAGCTTGAGCTGAAATATTTATAAACGAGTCAAGCTCAACCTAGGCAAAAACTCGACTCGACTTGTTTGCAGCCCTGCGAGAGTATGAGACAATCTCCAATCCAAGTGCTGAACTTGAAAGTGTAGCACTCTTGCTCCTCCACCAATCCATAATGTTTAGAGGTGTTGGGGAGATTTGAGAAGAAATAATCACCAAATTATCATAAATTTAGGGATTTAGGGTTTCTTTGATAACTGGTATGGCCATAAATTAACTATCACGCCAAAACGATCAAAAAGCAACTAAAGGCTATTTCTTCGAAGAAAAAATTCACTACAAAGGTTTTCTTGGACAAGGCAGCACAAGGCCACCTTAAACTCATTTAAACTTGTGTTGTTGTGTGTTGTGTCCCTTGCCAGACAGAAGCATATGTACAACTCTGCATATACAAGTTTATAGTACATACTAACTAAACATAGTACAGTTCTGCAGAGAATTTGTTAGCAAATCCTTACAATCTAGCCATTACAGAGCTCCTGACCCAAACAATCCAGGCAAAAGGGAAGAAGACATTCTCGAAGACCGTTCAAGACGTGCCAAAACGGTAGCAGCCTTCCTCCCCAACCGACCATTCTCATGAATACTCCGACCAACAAAACCATCAAGCATCAACCTAGTCACCGAACCATAATGTTCCACCATCTCCCTCGACACGAAAACCTTCTCCAGAAACCCCAGTGCTTCCTCCTTCAGCAAATCACTCCCCCAGTTCAGAATCTCCAACACAGGCTTCACAGCATCAGCATCGTGCAACACGATGGCTCCTCGGTTCGGGCATCCAGGTTGAACCAGCGTGGACAGCGCCTGAACCGCTTCGAGAGCCATCACATGAACCTGTGACTTCAACAACTGCACCAGTCCAGGCAGTGCATTTGCTTCTATGAGGCAGAATGTGGTCTTTACGCTGCAGATTCCTCCGTGACAAGGGCAGAGATTAGGGCGCCTTCGAACGAAGCAGGAGCAACAGAAGGGTGATTTGGGGAAAACAACAACAAGCTTTGGAGTGCTTGTGGATAGATCGCCAATGAGTGCAGCTGCTCTTGCTTTAGCAGTCACTGAACCAGTTGTAAGCAAGTTAATGAGCAGTACGTAGGCTCCTTGTTCGACCACGAGTCGTTGTGACTCGATGTTTGTGGGATCAGTGAACCTGAAAAGGGCACTCAGAGCATTCTCTTTTGCGTCCATTGTTGTATTTTCTCCCCTCAATATGTTGATCAGTGCATTGATTCCCTCCAGCTCAACCAGCTTCTTTGTCAAGCCCACCTCGGATTTTGGAAGGTTCGCTAATAGACCAGCAGCAGCCATTTGAACATCAGGTTTATAATCTTTCTCTAGAAACCCCACTAGACATTCAAGCCTTTTAGGCTTGAGAAGGTACTCAACTAGGCCTTCTGGTCCATGGTGGGAGAATAGAAAGAGAATTTGGATGGCCAATTCCCGGATCTCTGAGTCGGTCTCATCAAGAAGAGGGAGAACTATAGACAGGCCTTTGGATGTGAGAACAGCAGCCTTCACCAAGCTAGCATCCAACTGGCATATAGCTAGAAGTGCACGTAAAGCAGGCTTTCGGATGTTAATGGATGGGTTTGGGATATGGAAAGTTAACAAGTAGGTGATGGTTGGTTCTAGATCAACTTCATCCCCATCCTGATTCACAAAGAAACCAAGTCCGTCGCCATTGGAAGAAAGTCTTTCAAGGATTTCACAGCATTTGCCGGTGAGGAAGGGCCGCGTCTGCTGGGAAAATATTTGTTTGATAATGAGAGGAATCCCATCAGCGGCAGCAATGAGCTGTTTATTAGCATGACAGGCAGATATTTTGACTAGTGCAGTCAAGGATACATCTTTTGATTCAATGTTGCCAGATGCTACCATTTCAAGCAAAGGAGGAACGATTCCTTCTCTTCCAAGGATTTCCAGATCTGAATCTACTATTTCCATACTAACAAGAGGCTTCAGCATTGAAACCCTTAGCGATTCTGGCCCTGAAGAAAAAAGCTCATTATGAATCAAGGAAATCCAATTTACAAGCACATGATAATTTTGTTGATGTAGCAGCATGCAATAGGGAGGAGCTATGATATATCTTACCTTGTACTATTTGGTCCACTAGTGGTTTATACCAGCCAGCTTTTGCAGCATGAAGAAGATTTTCCTCATCGATTTCGAAAAGCTGGTTCAATATTTTGTCTGCACAAACAGCTGAATCTTGATCTATACCATTCAATAGGGAGACAAGTGAAGGAATTGAGCTGCCTTGCTCAGAAAGTTTCCTCAAAGCACAGATATTCCAACCAGACCTATCCTGCAACAACTCAAAGAGTAACTCCACAGCAGCCTTTGAGATGCTCTCAACACCTGCTAAGCACGAAAGAATTTGATCCCATCCCTCACTGTTTGCCACCTTTTCCTGGGAAAAATCACTCCAGTCAATTACTTAAGCCAAAACAAATTATAGAGATCGAAATAATGTAGAAAGGGTGCTTACCTTATTCCGACAGTGCCCCTCTACAATGTCCTTCAAAGCAACTAAAATCTTCCTCTTCACATCCTCACTGTGGAAGCGACCAAGTATTTGTATTACATCGTCGGTCAGCCCTCCTATGGAGATCCAATCCTTGTTAATAGAGTTTTCTCTCAACAGATTTTGCATATGGCTTAATCCTTGCTCTATCAGTAAACCATCTCCTGACAACAGTTTAGCATTGCAAGCTCTAATCCTTAGGCAATAGTTAAGTTCTCTCCATTCCTCTATTGACTGTCTCAGTGGAAGATTAGGCCTCAACGTCCTATCTTCAAGAACCTCACCTGTTTCAGGGTCAGTGATTTCTCCACAGTCGAACCAAGCCTCCACAGCAGCTCTCTCACAGGTCGTACCAGTGCAAAGGCTAACAGGATCGATCATCACAGTCCTAGTAATCTTACAAAGGAAAGCATTCAGTGGAGTAATGTATTCTTCCATGGGGTTATACCTCTCGACTACTTGAAGCCTCTGGTAATACTGCTTCTCAACTTCTTCATAGTCCCTAGCAGCATCAGCTCTCGAGAGAAGCTCAATGACTTGCTCCAAAAAAAGCTCCTCAGCCTTCTCTTTCCGGTTTGCAGCTTCCTCCTTCTCCCTTTTGAAGCTTCTCAACTCTCTACTTATCTGTGAGGGCTCCACGGGAACCCCAACTGCCCTTGCAATTTCCTCCAGCATATCGTTGGCAAAACCTTGATTGAGCTTCTGATCTATAAGGCCTTGGTTTAGCTTGTCCACGATTTGAAGCTGAGAATGAGAAGCTTCGAGCTGGACCCGTTGCATCTCGTTCTGCAGCCTATGCACTTGGTTGGATATCCCAGCAAGGACTTCTGTGTTTGCGAGGGAGATTGCAGCTAGAGACCTGCCAATATCTCTAGTCACCTGTTGCACCTCGTTCACAATGTGCCTGCACCTGAGAAGCAAGTAGAACCGGGCTCTGTTCTTGTACTTGTCCACCAAGTTACTGGCTTTCTTGACATCGGACTGGAGGGTTTCGAGGGCTGACCTGGCAGCTTGCGAATCGTTGAGCTTTTGAAGCTGGAGCTCCTTCAACACAGGTTCAATGTCGAAGAGGTGTTGGGACAGAACTTTGAAGCTTTCCTTTTCGATTAGTATGTCCTTTGCTGCTTGTGCTGTTTTGACGACCTGGTTCGTCACTAGAGCTAAGATTGTCCCTATGGGTATGAACTCCATCGCCATTGACACAGATGCTATTTCGTCTTGAAATGTCTGATAATGACTGCATCAACGGCCGATCAATAGCCCTGTAAAAAGGGCTAAAAGGGTAAAAGAAGACAAACCCGTGAGCTGAATTTGAATTCTGAAGCTTTAATTACCCTGCAAACTGAAATTTGACATATGTCATGCAGAACCCAGAAACTGGAATCAAAGCTTCAACCAGTTGGTTGGGTTGGGTCAACTGTTTCAGATGTAAATGACAGAGGAAATTACGAGAACAGAAGAAGAAACTGAACTAAGCGGGTAGCAGAGAAAGTACCTCTGCGTTTCCTTTCTGGTGTTTGGTTGCCGGGAAAGCGAGAGGAGGAAGAAGAGCTGGGTCGTCTGCATTGACTTAACAAGTCAAGCACAACCACAATCCAAAGAAAAGGCTCCAGCGGGGCAGGAAGTTAACACGCCCGTTGAAAAATTCGTTATTTCTTACCGCCAAAACATCTTTCTTGGACGAGAAAACGCGGCGTTTCCTCTTAATGCATATCCAAGCTCTGCGCGCAGAGAAAAGGAAAGGAGTAGCCGACATTGGCCAAACACTTCCACGAAATTTCCAACTGCAATAGTCTCGCTTTCCCTGACCAAGTCTGCAAGTGGAAGCCTTTTTCTTTCATATATAAAGTTTTGTTCCTTGCACTTATCAGAATGAATGCAATAATTTAAGCAGCAAACCGGCCCGTCCCTGATGGAAACCGGCCTAATTCTGTTCGTGTGAGTTATATGACTCTGGAACGAAGTTCGTCCCTATACGGTGCAATCAGAATTCCCAAAACTGAATCCTGAATTCTTATTGAAAGTGGACGACTACCAAAACCATGTGTAGCCTAAGTTGGAAAGTGTAATTCAATTTACACAAAACCTTCTATAGTTCATCTTAGCACTTCAGAGCCTCGTCGCTTTGCTGCCGGCAAATGTCCTATTTCTGTCGCCGGCCAAACATATAGCTCATTCTCTAGTTCTTTGTTATTGTAATGTTTCGACGGAGGGGATTTCTTTCCTACCATATCATTCACAATGTACCGGAGGGCGAGGAGCAGCGCTGCTCCTCCTTCCTGAGCTAATCAATCATAACATTCCATTTTTCTGCTTTCCTGCAGGCATCAAATGTGGCTACCACTGCCTGCACTGTCTTTTCGTTAGCGGATTACACGAAATTTTTTACTGCAGTATGTTTGCTAAAATCTCTGCGAGTTTAGACATGCATATCATATCGAATCAATCCTAGTAATCTACAACACAGACTAGCCAGCCAGCATTGTGCCTTCTATCTATGAACAAGCATAATATAGCAAGCAGCCACAATACACAGCTGAAGAACGTAAAAGTATTCTTATTCCATTTCTGGAAGCAAAACCCGACAACCTACTGCAATCGTACTGTTCCTCCTTACTACTGCAACCGTACTGTTCCTCCTTGGGAAGAAACTACAACAGCAAACTTACAGCATGCTAGCAGCAACACTGAACTTTCCTGTCTCGAGCTAATTGTCTGGCCATTTCTCTGAGTTACTCTGGGGATTGAGGCCTCTCTGCCTCTGGCGGATGCACTGTGTAATCTCACTGCATTTCCTAAACACAGAAGAAGAAGTAAACAAATGCCCGATTCAATTGATAATCCATACTTTGACGATCAGAAAATCAACACAAGGTAAACAGAGTGACACACCAACCAAAGGACGATTTCCACAACTTAATATGCTTATACATGCTTCCCCAATCAGGCAAAATATCAACCAAAGTTCCATATTTTTTGCTCCCATTTGCAACGATTGATACCATCCTCTCCAAGAGGTTCGGACAATTCGTGACCAGCGGAGTTCTAAACTCTAATTCAGATTCTGTTAACAGCTGTTGTTTTCCCTACTGATATTGATCCATCAGAACACAGAGCAGCAAGATTTTCCATTGACCTAGCTATAGATTACTCGTTCATCTGAACTACGGCCCTCATTCAGCTGATTGATTTCCTACCCAGAAACCCTAATTCCGGAACATAAAGACTTTCGGACTGAGCTCTTCATCGAGTCAATCGAACTAAGCGAAGAACAACAACAAAAAAAGCCATAATTGAATTTCAGGAGCGAAACATTTTCAAACCAATACGATCCGGGAAAGGGAAGGGAAGAATTAGGAGAGTGAAGTATTACCTTGCCGGTTAATTTCTTCATGAACTTGGTGTCGGCAGCGAAGCTCATAAGAAAGAGTGGAACACCGATGTATAGGCCGAGCTTCACGCCCTCCAGAAATCCCTTGGAAAATACGATGCGCGGCAAGTTGATTCGCCGGCGAGGAGGAAACAGAAATCTCAGGCGAAATATCTGTTGCGTCGATCTTGTGGATGGAAAGTAGAGGACTTGGGCCTCGCTACGTGGGCGTTAAGTAGTTTATCTGGGCCAGGCCCACGCAAAAGGGAAAATCAAAACCGGGCTCGTCTCCATTTCGTTGATTCATCCATTAGGGCTCTCATCCTTCTACAGTCTGGTCGTCCAGGCCTTTGGGAGTTATTAGTTATTACCATTGTGCCAAGAGTGATAGAAAGTTCCCTAATTAAAAGACCTTGATGAATTAGCTCACATGATGGTGAAGACAAAGTGAATTTTTCAATGTACATTAGTAGATGTGATTTGTATGGATTAAGAATAAGTTTCGAAATCGAATAGGCGATCAGTCCGCAAATCATTATCTAGTAGAATATATTGAAAGACGTTTGTTGACCACTATAGATATTGAATGCATATTTTTTATGAATATAAAAATACTCAACGAGGCTATTTGTTATAACTTTGTACTAATTGGGTAGCTTGTTATTTGTTAAATTAGTTCAATTGTATAAATAGGAAACTGTAATAGAAATTTCTGAATCTGCCATGACTCTTAAATCCTCATACTTTGTTTATAAATGGGAGAACCAATGATAGGATCTAAGGGCTAGATCTCAGAACCAATGTTAGCCCATTTGATTTCACTTCCAAAAATACATGTCATGGTCCATTTCTTAAAAATTAGATTATATGTCACTGTTCATATCTTTAGTGGTGGTTGTTTCTATACTGCTTTGTTTTAATTCGCAATTAAATAAACTAATGATGTTGACGTGAAATATCTAAACCTCTCTTATTGGTTGTCCAACAAGGCTCATTAGCATCTAATCTAGCACACTCATTGGTCTAAGTGGAAACTCCACTAATCAAGAGGGCGGGCCATAATTAAAACTTAAATTCTTCACGAACATGATGAATATATATATATTCCTTTTTTGTATGATAAGTAATTTATATTAGTCTCTGAAGTTGACGATTTTATCATTTTGTATGTAACCAAATATTATGTTTATATTTTATATACATAGAACGCACCAAAAACTTCCAATTACATATCTTTCTCAAACCCACCAATAACTAGCCCTACTTAATTTACAAAATTGATAAAAAAGCCAATTGCCCTATTGGGCAAATCGAAAAGTACTGTACCTAAAGACAAAAAATTTGCTGTCCATTATTTTATTTAAGAGTTAATTGTAGATGTGGAGCAAGTAACGGCTGTGAGAGCATGCAAGTTTTAAAACCCTTCATAATTTCATGAAAAGAAAAGAAAAAGGAGGAAGAAGAAATAATCAACTATAAATTTTTTGTGATGATGGAGCTTTTAGATGAAAATTAGACAAATCTTCATCAGAATTAATGTTACTATGATTGTTTGATTTAACCATTGTTATAAGAACCGAACCAGATCAACGGTTGTGCTAGTAGAATTGCCAAACAAGTTAAGATAGCGGTCTGCTTCATTGCTTGGACGATTATTGGTTGACCAAACAGTTTTTCATGGTTCAACATAAAACCGGATGAACCACCACGATTTAACTGGTCCACTGATTCACTATTTTTACCAAAAAAATTAAAAATACTTTAATATAAACTAAGACTATCAAACCATAACTATTAACTTTATGTATGCTTCTTCTTCTCATTTTCCAACCTTGTTCTCGACTTACGTTGTCCACTATCGACTGACACTGTAATTTTTAAGTTGGAGACGGTTTGAATGATTTATTAGATATTTTAGTGATGATATTAATTTGAAATTGTTTATGATCAATTATAACTTCATTCTTAAATTAGTGTAACATATAAGTCTTATTTGTTCTATATCATGAACGATTCTATCAACGGTTCACCAACAGTTATGTAACGATTAACCACTGAACTCTAAACCACTAATTTTTCCAATTTAGCCTCCGGTCTGTTTATGAAAACAGAAGATTTAACCAATTTAGGGGTTAAAATCAATTTGGTCCCGTTTTTGGTCAACACGATTGAATTTGGGCCAAAGTGGTAACAGCACCACACTAGATCGTATATGATTATGACCAAAAAAGGACCAGATAATTAAGGAGTAGATGCATTGAGAATGACTCTGGTGATACTTGCATATATATATACTGGGTATATTCCTCTCTTCTCCATTTGCCTGCCCACTGTTTTACTATAATATTTCAAGAACGCCATTAAGTGGGTTAATTTTTTTTTTTATAATCATCAAGTGGGTTAATTTAAAATTGTCTAATATCATATCACTTAGCTACTTTGCTTTGGTGCATAATGACGTATGATCTCATGGAATATCAACAGTGGGAGACAATAAGATACCATTTGATACTTTGTTACTTATGAGGAGGAGAACAAAGCTACCATGAGGCATTAATTAGTTCATTTCCCCCTCCAAAATCCGAACATACACCGAAACTTTCGTAGTTCTTGTTATTCAATGTAAATGACCCCATAGATAAAATCATGAACAACGAACTTGTTGATGTTATTTTTACTATTTCTATTTTATAATATATCGTAGCTACTGAGTCGAACTCTAAACCTTAATTTCTTTACTGCATCAACCTAGGAATAAGAAAAATTAAGAGGGGTAGCAGTGTGCTATAGCTTCTGATATCAACATGGCATTTTTTAAATACTACTCAATATTAATTGGTTAAACTACTGTTAAACTAACCATTTGTCTTTGAGGTAAACTCGAAAACATGAAGGTCAATTTTTGGGTCATCTCCCATCAAGGAGAAGAATAAACTAAACTCATTTTAAGCAAAATATCCAGGAATTGGGAAGTAAACAAATGGGGAATTGAATTAACAAACTATTCTTCTTGTCTCCTTATGATTAGCACTGAGTCTGAGTGGTGCTATGGTTTGTTTGTTACCCAATTAGGTGGCTCCAAATGAAAATGGACCCTTCAGCTAAGTGCTATATTATTTCTCTGTATTAATATATTATAATTAATTCCCATATAGGTAGTGTTGATTGGGGCCCTAGGGCTGGGAGTGGGAGACCTGCAATTATGTCAAACAATGGTTATTTATGCCTAATATTGATTTAATCACAAGAGATTTATATACCATATTAATTATATATCAATCACCAGAACTGGTACATCATTGTCCTGAAGATAGTGATATTGGGACTAATTCCATGGAATGAACGGCTGAAGAGTACCTAGGTTTTCCCTTGTCAAATCCAAAAAATAGTTTGAAATGTAGATGGAGATGGCTCCTTCAGTTTGAAGATAGCTTTGATTATTGTCATGAATGGCTTGGAATTTAAAATGCTTGAAAAGGGCTTTCCTTTAACAAAAAAATACTTGCTTAGGAGTAGAGCTATAAAATGAGTCAAGCTCGGGAGGTTTGTCGATCGATTTCGGGGGGAAAAAAATTGTTTGAAACTCGATCTGCGTCTATTAACGAATCGAGTTTGAGTTAATGCTATTTCAGCTCTTGAGGCTTGCGAACCAGTTCTATTTGGTGGCTCGTTGAGCTCAACTTATGAGTTGGCTTGACAGTGTGTGGCTAGCTAGCTAGCCAGGAAAATTGAAATCTTAGTAGTGAATCGATATAGCTTATGAGCTGAATAATTTGTACCACAATGTTAGCGAATCACAATAAAAAAAAATATGTTCGAAAAGTATCCATACAAATTATATTTGTACCATAATGTTAAAGCAAGGTACAAATAATTTGTACCATAAAATTTTAATGTTTGTAAATATGCATATCATTCTGTTCATCTGTTGCTATGGATTTAGTTTGAATTTGTCTCCAAAATTAAAGGAGCAAGTTGGAAAGTGTATGTGTGGACTGTTGTGATTCTAATGTTAGTAGAACCAAACTGGGACTTCTCTTTGTCTTAACACTATGAATTCCCCCACGTGCTCTTTTCTTCTTCTCCTTTCCTTTGGCACGCAAGAAAATACCTCGCACAAACCTTCGACGCAATTTCCACCCTTTCATCAAATCCCAAATTGGCAAAATACGTACCAACCCTAGCTAGCTAATTATCATATTCATTTCTTCGTTGAGCATATTGTACGTTTTGGTTGGATGTCTCAATTATGAGAAGTTAATTAGGACTTGTCCTCTGTCTGCTAGCTTCGCTCTCTCTGTTCAAAAGATAACTTCATATTGCTATGGAGGAGCTTAATTTTGACTGCTCAATGATCTTCATCCTGTAATTTTTAATGTTTAACCTGATGATTTTCATGTTGCTGGTGAAGGCTGGCTCTGAATCCGAATCCGATCCGGAGAAGGAAAGAAGAGTGGTGCTCGGTTTAAATGTGTTTTAGTGTTAGTAAATAAGACTGCGTCGTTTGTTCTTTTATAGTTTCAGTACCTAGTGTTTGGTCTTGTTCAAGGCAGGTCATTTAGCCGTTGTGGCTGTTAGCTAAAGCAGAGGAAGTAGTTGATCAGGGAACTATTTCCCAGGGATCAAGCTGTTAGGGTTGTTCATCAGAGCCGAAGTTTTTGGCTCTGGTTAAGAGTCTTGTGTATACATATTTCATCTTCAATCAATGAATAAATCGTCAGTTTGCAATACATCTTGTGGTAACAAAGTGGTATCAGAGCGTGTTTGCGAGCTGTAACCAAGGAAAGTTGAGTGATTTGTGAGCTCAAAGAAAGTGATCGAGTGATTATCTGGGTTGGGAAACACGAGTGAACAAGTGCAGTGAGGAATTTCTTGGTGAGTGAAAAACATGAGTGAAAGCAGTTTTACTCAGGTCTGTATACCCAAATTCGATGGGGATTTCGACCACTGGAGCCTGCTAATGGAAAATCTGCTGCGATCCAAAGAGTATTGGACAGTGGTTCAAGATGGAATAAGGGAGCCAGCACAGGGAGAGCAACTGAATGAGGCCCAACAAAAGGGGCTGGATGAGAGAAGACTGAAGGATCTCAAAGCGAAGAACTATCTGCTTAGTTCTATTGATAAGAGCATACTAAAGACTATAACACAGAAGGCAACAGCGAAGGAACTGTGGGATTCAATGAAGACA